TTTTTCGTAATCCGCCCACCTAACTGTGAGATGTTCATAATACAAACACTGATACATAGGTTTATGTATAATGTGGTCACTGAAGGACAGCCACACATAAATCCCGAGGGCTGGACCATAATTATTTTACTTTAACTAATTTGGTTACTCTTAACCATTATAAATGAGCGTCTTATTCATATTGATAAGTAATAAGCCCAATTATTGGAGACATGGAGGGTGCAGAAGGTCGTCACAGTTACAGCAACTCATAAAATACTGAAGGCCTCGGGAAAGTGGCAAATTAGCTGACAATAAAGCGAGCAAGCTTCAACAGCAGTTACCTCTGCCTGCATTCTGTCGAGCTGCACAAGAGCTGTCAGTTGTTTCGAACATGCATATTGGGGTTTCATTGCGATGGATAACCGACAAATGGCCGGCTCCAAGTCATCGTGCTCTACATTTATATCCTCTATCAACCGAAAGACATCATTTTCAAAAGACATTCATGTTTAAGTTGTCAATGTTTAGTATTTTACATAAATTTATCTTTTGCCCAGTTTTGGTTTACGAAGTCCATCGACTCAGCACTGGCGACGTGGGATGATCGTCGGCAAAATCCTAAACACCATATGATTTCGAAATAACCATCACTGGTTGAAAATTTTAAATATCATCGCAAAGTTAACTAACTAGCTAACTTAAGTGCATCATCATATACCTAGGTCAAATGAGCGGTCGCAATGCGTCTCAGGCACACACAAGCTGTAAGCATGCATTCAGAAAGTCTTCCATGGAAAATATCAACGTTAATTTGAGTTCATTAGTACCATAAGTGAACACTTTCTGCATAATTTTAAATAAAGCTTGTAAGTGAAAACGTATAACCTCACCTAGTTAGCTAGTTCACTTCATACTAGCCGGTCCTCAATTCCGATAAAGAGGGAAGGTTGGGCATACGACTAGTACTCTACCCCCTAAAACTAGTCCAGTCGCTAAACAAACTTCAAAGCACAAGAAAAATAAACTGATTTCAAGCTAGAATCAAGGAGATGAAATGACGACAGTGGGCAAAAGCCTTCAGAAACCCAATTCACCGATATGTCTTCTCTCTCTCTCTCTCTCCGTCTAGCTTGATGAAAGCGAAAGTAAACATACGGACATGGAATGTCCACACAATGTTTGAAGCTGGCTGGCCGCCTGCCAAGCCTGTCCACATTGCAAAACAAATGACAAGATACAGTATACAAGTGCTAGGAATCTGCAGATGGAATGGAAATGGACTCCCTAAACTGTCAACTGGACAGTCAATAATCTACTCCCATATTGTCACCCAGACCACAGCCACGAGCACACTCACTTACGCAGTGCCTATCATATTGTCCCAATACAAACAGCATCGAAGGCTCTCCCCCATGCAGTGGCAACCAATCTCATTCACCTCCTCTTCCTCATGCAGGATCACCATCATGACACTAAGATGGATTCAAATCAAAAGGAAGGAACGAAGGAAGGAAGGAAAGTCACAATCATACAATGCTACGCCAAACCACGCATCTACAAATAATCCAGACCAACAGGAGAAGCAGGAATTCTACAGATAACTGCAATCAATCATCGACAATACCCAACTCCAGTTGGCCGCAACAAAATTCTAATAACTGCGGTGAAATCAATGCCAAACTATGAGTAGACAACACATGAAGAGAACTCATCCATCACTGGTAGAGAAGCACTCGGTGAAATGATGAATGAGAATGAAGAACTGTTTGCAGACTTCTGCACATCTAATCATTTGGTGATTGGAGGTAAGGCAGTGTGTACAAATACAAGGATATTCACAAGGCACCCACATGGATTTGATTTCACCAGACACCATCACACACTATCTAAAAATCACATCGACTTCATCTAAATGGGAAATGGGAAGAAAGTGGATACTCAGCCAGCCCACTCGACACAAAATCAGATCAGATCAGATCAGATCAGATGAAGAAGGCGAGTAGATGTAGGTCGACACCACTCACACCACTATCTAGTGCAAGCAACCTACCTTCAAAATCAAATTGAAAGCCTTCACAGAAGCTGGTGATAAACCACAGTTCAAGTTGAACACCCAGAACAGAACAGAACACGAACTGAACTGAATGACGAAACTACAAACGACATCTTCACGTCAGTCAACCATCAGGAAACAATGCGAGATACTGAGCAACATCCCTGAAGAAACCTGAGTGGAAGAACACTGGAACTCTTTGGAAGAAACATGGAAGGAAACCTGCATAATCATGTTAGGAAGAAGAAGAAGAAGGAGAAGAAGAAGCCGCAAGACAAGCAGTGGATCTCTACAGACACATGGAAGCTGATAGAGGAGCGAGGGAGTTGGTGAAGCAGAAGATGAACTAGTGAAGTGTTGTGCAGTGCAGTACAGTACAGTACAGTGCAGGGATGAACAACGAAAGGAGGAACTGAATACAGTCTCTAAGACGCTGCACATAGAAGTGAAGAAGAGTGCTCAGAAAGACAAATGACACTTATACCACACACTTGTATGTGATGAAGTAGAACAGACTGCTGCAAGTAGGAGAGACGGAGACCTGACAACATTATATCAAATAACCAGCTTACTATCGATCTGGGGAGAGATCAACACAGATGAAAACAATGGAAGATAAGGAAGGAAACCTGGTCACCAAACAGGAGAAATAAAGGAAACAATGGACTGACAACTTCAAAATACTCTTGAATCGACCACCACCAACACCTCCAACTCGTCCACAAATATCACCAGCAGACCAGTCACAGAATTACCAGTGAACACAAGTCCTCCGACAAAAGCAGAAATCAAGTCACTAACGCCGTAAACTTGCTGAAAGTTGGGAAAACAGTGGGACCAGATGGAATTCCTCCATAAGCACTGAAAGCACACACAGAGATAACAGCGGACATGCTCACACCACTATTGCAGATGGTTTGGGAGGAAGGAAGTAAAGGTACCAGGCTATTGATTCGAAGAAGGGCTACCTTATCAAACTCCCAAGGAACGGAGATCTAAGTCTTTGCGAGAACTGGAGTGGAATCATGCTGCTGTCCACCCCAAGCAAAATATTAGGCTGCATCATCCTGGAGATAGTAAGAAATGCACTCGATTCTAAATTACGACCCGAACTGGCTGGCTGGCTGGAGTCAGGAAGAACAAAGCATGTGCGCATCAAATTACAACGCTACACTATGCATCATCATAGAACAGACCATAGAATGGTAATCAACTCTCAACCTCAACTTCATAGAACTTGAAAAGCCATTCGACAGCATCGACCGAGAAGTCATTTAACAGCTGTTACTTCAACACTACTGTTTGAGTGCCACAAACCACCTTTATCAACCTCATTCAACATCAGCTATATGCTATATGATGCTAAATATCAAGTGATTCACAATGGAAAGCAGCTCAGTAACGCCTTTCAAGTGAAGACGAGTAAGACAAGTTTGGTGCTTACTACTTGACTGAATTATGCCACAAAGTGTGACGAGAGAGAAGACGGGAATACACTATTTGACCAATGAAACGATCCCGGAAGAAGATTGGGATTTCGCCGATGATCATTTATGTCTAATGTCTTGTCGCACAAACTGAAACATCTACATGCGAAGATTAACAAGTTGGCAGAATAGGAGAGGCAGCGAAGATGGGACTTCAGGTGAACGTAGACAAGACAGAGGTGATGAAGATAACCAACCAACCAACCAACCAACCAACCAACAACAACAACAACAAGCACCAACCACCATCAACAAGAGAAGTCTAGAGGAAGTTGTCTCTTTCACCTACCTTCTCAGGAACCATCGTTTCAACTACAGCTGGCGGCGGCTGAGATGACCATGTCAAACTCAGGATCGAAAGACACCAAGACAGGTCTTCATTAACCTGAAACCACTGTGGAGATCTACTTCACTCCACTCAGCATAAAGCGTGAAAAACATCACGATTATCAACACTTATGTCGTCAGTCAAGTAAGTCAGTGCTTCTATATGGTTCAGAGACTTGGTGCATTACGAAAAGCATTTCCAACAAGCTACACATATATATCACATCAACAGCTTCCACCTACGCTCACTCCACACTGAAGATTAGATGGTCAGAATAATAAGAATAAGCAACAAGGAACTGTGGACTGGCAATGAACCAACCAACCAACAAACTATCGTTGTCCAACAAATATGCATCATAAAGTGGAGATGGATTGGATTGGATTGGATTGGACATACAGTGAGAAGACCATCTGGGGACATCACCTGTCAGGCCAGGCAGTGGAGTGGAATCCAAAGGTGAAACGACGAGTTGGGCGTCCGAGGCGACGGTGACATTGAGGAGATCATGTGAAGAGGAAATGAAAGCTTACGGGCAGTCGTGGAGCCACCTTCAAAAGAATGGAGAGAAGAGAGTGGAGTGGAGATGTTTCACTAGGAATCCGAGGAGAAAATAAATCGAAATATATGAATTTAGTGAAAATGTGTATATGTATCAGAAGTTACATGCAGATTTCATTAACAGGTCTTAGAAATAAATATGGCCGTGTTCAAAAGTAAGCAGCAGATATGACACATAACAAGGCTCAAAAAATAGGCTTAGTTTGAAACAAATCCCCGAAATGTGAGTTACACATGCGTCATCTGTATATACATACGTTATGCATATACAGAAGACTACAAACGCAGTTTTCCTAAAACTTTCAGATTTGTTTGAGAATAGATAGGAAGCTGGGAGCCAGCATTCAAGGCTAGCTACAAACATAATAGGAACCATCATATGGAAACGCAAGGTGCATCCCGGTAATCTGGATTCGTTTAGCAAACGCCTCAAATGTCCCCTTCCTTACTGACACAGACCAAAAAGGCAAAAATAAATGGAACATTCGAAAACATGCGAGATGTCAAAATAATGCACATATCTAATATTGTAAGAAATAAGCCCCAGAAAACATTTAATGTCGTTTCCATAAACTATAAAACCTCTTACTAAAATCACTTTACCGACGCCTTAGTATTTCAACTTTTCAACAGTACCCTTGCAAGGCACTGATTTTTAGGGTACTGACGCACTTCTAGGTCACTCGGCTACTATGCTATTGGTGGAGAAACGTCTAAATTATTTTCTGAGGTCGTTCCGAAAAATGCAATAACAGCATAAATTCATTTGTATTTCATTCTGCGAGAATTCAGCAATTGTCTGACTACAGTTATCGTGCATTTTTTTTGTGTTTGAAGAATTTGAAAGCTGGAAAGGCTGTAAAGTGGCGTTAGTTGGTCTGAATTATGTAACTAACACGTACTGAAGTGATCTACAAACATTATATACTTGCCTGACTTTAAGAGGTGTGCACACTTTATGTTGCTGCAGTTAGTAGCAGAGATTGCAAATGTTACTTTAATTTTGTCAAAAGTCTCGAATCTTGGTACTTTTGTGTTTACACACCAAGGGACATTGTATTAATGCTCTGAGCGAAATATTCCTCGATTAAAGTAAGACGAAATCTCTTCTGGGTGAATCTCTTATGGTAGGCCACTTGGTCTGATAACATCGTTTTTTCGTTTTTCAGTGCAAGCAGTCTTTTCCGATATATTTTGCGAAGGTTTCCCATCGTTTTCGCTTTTTGACCTCATGTGCTACCAAAATTGTCTCAAGAATGCTTGTGGAAGTGCGGAGTTCCACTTCGTAGTGGGTTCTGAAACGATGTATCCCTAACGTAAGAGATGGTCCCAAGATAACCGCAGAAGCCTTAAGCCTCCACCATATAAGAGGTATGGTAAGATAGGGAATATCTGCCTCTGGACGCTGCGCTACTTGGATGTTCGCGGGCTGACTGAAGAATCAAAAACACTTCTTAATATTATCACGAAGGAGCCGGCATCCGAACGGAATGTCAATAACTCTTGTAGCGATAATGACACAGCATCCATTAGCACAGATCGCTGTGCAAGTTTTTAAGAGTGCCCGACGACAAGCCGAGAGTCAGGCGCGTAGGCCACCTACGAAGTTTGTTTGTCAGAAAACCTAGGCAAAGCAGGTTCTCGCATCTCCAGGGCTAGCAGACCTAGTCTGAAAATTACCGACCGTAAGACTGGGTCAGCTTCCTATGAAAGGTATGGGAGTGGGGCACTTCCAGCCCCTACCACAGAACTATGCAGTATACTGGTCCTACCTAGTTCAGCAATCCAGTTAGTGGTGACAACACCATAAAAGAGGACATGATTTCATCCTGAAGCCGTTAGTGTCCAGGCTTTAGTAAGCCTTGCACATCCGACTCTGAGAAGTGGCAAGAAATTAAGTCTAACTGACACACCGAAAAGCCGTTAACAGTCACTGAGCCGACTACCATCACTCCACACAACAAAGATAAATTAAAGCTCGTCGACAGGTCTGCAATCTTCCACAGAGTGAAAGAAAGTAGAGACTTAGAACCATGTAACCATTCCAAACCTGAACTTGGCAGGGTTCAAGGTTTGATAAACAAGCTTATACCGGTAAAAATACCAGAAGTCACCTCACTCCAGATGTGTAAAGTAGGCAAAGAAGAGGCGGTTCCCTCCGAAAACAGTTTTGGCCGCTTAAAGTCATGCTTAGACCCACAGAGGAGAGGGATCAGATACTGATGAATGCTCACAGATTTCAAGGAACTGCAGTCTTCACGCGTACGGATTTGGCTCTCGCTGATCAAGTCAGAAAACGCGAAGCAGAAGAAGAACTGTGGTCGAGGTTGGCTGCAGGAAAGCAAGATCTGAAGGTAGCGGGTGTGCGAGTAGTGGGGTTGCGGCGAAAACTGATGTCGAAATTTCCATGGATAGGACGGAAACCCATTTATGTAGTTTTATCGTCTTTTACACAAATTTATGTGGCCTCTTAAATGAGTGAACTGAGCTCACCAACGTAGCCAGCACAGAAGGCACCGACAACAATGCTATCTCGGTAACTTGGCTCTCTTCTGTGATCAGTGGCCTCGAAGCACATTCACGGGGATTCGTTCCTTTTCGAAGTGATAGGTTAGCACACAATGGTGGTGGTGTCATCCTCTACGTTGAGCATACATTGACTCTAAAAGCCACAGAAATGGTTTCACATGGAAACGGGACATGTGAAATGCTACGCTGCCAACTACAATGCAAGGGACAGAATGATAACTTAATCGTAGTGTATGGAAGCCGGTCTGCCGGTCTCGAGTATGCTTTGAAACACATCTACTGGTCACTCTACAACGTCCGGAGGGGTCATTTTCTTATACGAACTACAGGAATGGGATATGTCGTGGTATACCCACCCTAATCACAGAGGAAGAAACTGACCTCACGATTGAAGATGATAGGGAAAGGCAGAAGCTCTGGTTGGATATTTTACTTGGGTTTTTGCACAGGAATTGTCTGTGGGCGCTTATCCGATAGTGGGAGTGTTGACATCCAACTAATAAACTCAGTGGATATAGATCGCAATAATGTATTTCGGACATTAAGTACTTCCAACGTAGAAAAATCAACGAGACCGGACGAGCCACATCCAAGGCTGCTCAGAGAGCTCTCACTCTGCCTAGCCGGCCCACTGACCACCACACTTAGATTGTCCGCCAGTGAAGGCACACTCCTCTATGACTGAAAGGATGCCATGCTCACACCTACCTGTAGGGCAGGTTCTAGGCGGCACCCATCAAATTACAAACCAGTTAGGGTGACTAGTACAGTAGTAAAAATCCTAGGAAGAACAACCGAGGAATCTACTACATCCCACTTAGAGAGCAGCACCGTGTTGCCTTGTTTGCAGCATGAATTTCACAGGCATTTCTCTTGTCCGACGAACCTTCTCACAGTCAAAGAAAGTTGGGTCCGGTTTGAAGAGGGTGGGATATCTGTATATGTCATTTTCCTAGACTTTAGTAAGGCTTTTGACAAGGCCTCTCATTCCCAGTTGCTCGGGAAACGAGGAAAAAACTCCTGAACCACCAACAATCTCTTCACAGGTAATAGGGAGTTATCTTTTGGCAGGAGGCGAAGGATAAAGATCAACTCCCTCCTCTTCTCTTGGAAGCCGACAGAAGGCGGAGCGCTGCAAAGCACAGCCCTGGGTCACCTTACATTTCTCCTTTACTTAGGTGGGCCACCGAATATCACAAAATCCCCCACTGCTCTCGACTCTGATGTTAAACTCCGGTGGGGAACCAATGACAAGGAAACACATGCACTTCATCTGGTCAGAAAAGTGACTGGTACTTATCAACGTAACCTCGCCTGGTTAACTAGTTCACTAGTTACTAGCCGGTCGTAAGCCCGGGTAAAGAGGGAAGGTTGAGCATAGGGCTAGCAACCCTACCCCGTAAAACAAATCTAACCGATAAAGAAACTTCAAATCACAAACAAAATATAATAAATAGTAACAAAATTATTCCCCGCTGGAATCGGAGAGGCGAAATGACGCCAGTTGGTCAAAGCCTGTCTTCAGGAAGCCAATTAGCCGGGCCGATGTGTCTTCTCTCCTAGATGAAAGCGAAAGTAAACGCGGGGACATGGAATGTCCGTACGATGTTTGAACCCAGCAAGGAAGCCCAGATTGCAAAGGAGATGAGAAGGTATCACATCGAAGTGCTTGGGATTTGCGAAAGTAGGTGGAATGGGAGTGGACTCTCCAAACTGTCAACTGCAGAATCAATAATCCACTTCAATATTGTCACCCAAACGACAACCACCAGCACACTGAGTTTTGGAGTGGCTATCATAATGTCCTCAAGAGCATGGAAGGCTCACTCTCATGCAGTGGGAACCAATCTCCTCCAGGATCAGGATCATGACAGCAAGGGTCAACTCAAAAGGAAGGAAGGAAGGTCACAATCATACAATGCTACGCCACACACCTACAAATAACGCGGATGAAGAGAGAGAAGAAGGAGGAATTCTACAGACAACTGCAATCAACACTGGACAAGACATCACTCAAGTTGGCGATATCAAAATCCATTCTAATGATTGGGGCGACATGAATGCCAAACTGGGAGTGGACAACACAGGAAGATAACTAACCATGGGTCGAGAAGCACTAGGTGAGTTGATGAACGAGAATGGAGAATTGTTTGCAGAATTCTGTGCATTCAACGATTTGGTGATTGGAGGTGGGGCAGTGTGTTCAAGCACAAGGATATCCACAAAGCGAGCGACATGGATTTCACCAGACACCTGACACACTAAAAATCAGATCGACTTTATCTCAATCTCAAGAAAATGGAGACGCAGTCTACTTAACACAAGGTCAAGAAGAGGAGCAGATGCAGGTTCAGACCATTCACCGTCTGGTGCAAGAAACCTTCCAAATCAAGTTAAAAGCCTTCAATTCAGGGAAGCTGGTGATAGACCTCAATTCAAGTACAACACTCGGAAACTGAAGGATGAAACTACAAAGGAGATCTTCACGGCAGCCATCAAGACAAAATGGGAGATATTGAGGAACATCTCTCAAGAGACCTGTGTGGAAGAACACTGGATGTCTTTGAAAGAGATGTGGAAAGAAACCTGCACAGCCGTATTAGGAAGGAAGAAGAAAGAAGATAAGGAACGGATACATGGAAGCTGATAGAGCAGGAAGAGGAAGATGGTGATAGTGAAGCAGAAGATAAACCAGTGCAAGGACGCTCAACGACAAGGGGAACTGAGCACAATGTATAAAGCACTGAACAAAGAAGTAAAGAAGAGTGCACGCAAAGACAAAAGACACTTGTACGAAACACTGGCAAGTGAAGCAGAACAGGCTGCAGGTAAGAGAGACAAAGACCTGACAACATTGCATCAAATAACCAGGTTGTTATCAGGGAAGAGATCAACACAGACGAAGCCAATAAAAGATGAAGAAGGAAATTTAATTACGAAAGAAGAGAAACAGAGGAAACAATGGGCTGACCACTTCAAAAAGCTCTTGAATCGACCACCACCACCTGCACTTCGTCCACAAATACCACCAGCAACCCAGCCACAGAACTACAAATGAACATAAATCCTCCAAAGAAAACGGAAGTCCTGAGCGCCATAAAGCTACTGAAGTGCAGGAAAGCAGCAGGACCAGATGGGATACCGCCAGAAGCACTGAGAACAGAC